AGGATGAGAGGAATAAACACAGGAGGGAAAGAGAAAAAGAAAATTTCCTAAGAAGTTAAGATAAACAAGAAGGATCTGACTAAATACACAAAGAACCGGAGGTCACCGAACGATGCATGAAGCCCTTAAGAGATAAGCATTAGGGAGCTTTATTGACAAAAGTAGTAAGCACTTTTTAAAAAAAGAAAAAACAAACTTAAATGAATCCTTTGCCTCAGCATTCACAAAGTGACGATGAGAGGCAGATGCCAGAAGCAGACACAGACTTCCCAGAGGACAAGGACAAATGCTACAGGAAATCAGGAGTGTGTCAGGACAGTGATTAAGAAACCTGAACCTCTACAGGTTGCCAAAGCTTCAGTTGCCTAAGGTCCTGCCTACATTCTAAGGGAAATGGAAAAACTAGCATGCAGCAGACACATTTCAAACTTTGTAGCTGTGGTTAGGCCTGGCAGACCAGGGAGAGAGAGAGACAAGATACTACCAACAAGGCAGAATCAGTGGCATTTTCAATCCCAGAAGCTTCTCTCCTTTTCAGGAGGCAGTTCTGTCCTGTCCTTTACTATGCTACAAATCCAAAAGGAACACCTGGAGGTTGGGGAAGTTTCTCACCAGTGACACAAACATCTTCCAAATGACTTGGTCTATAGCTTTATAAGACTACAGTCTCTTAATAGCCAATCAATCAATCGCAGTGGTCCCACTTTATATAATTCATTCCCCACCTCTTGCAGATGCGCTTAAGTTCTAAATTTACAGATGCCTTCTTAACTCACAAATTTGGGTTTTCTTGGCAAAGATACTGGAGTAGTTTGCCATTTTTTCCTCCACCTCATTTTAGAGATGAGGAAATTGATGCAAACAGGGTAAAGTGACTTGCCCAGGGTCATACAGCTAATAAATGCCTGAGGCCAGATTTAAACTGGGGAAGATGAGTCTTCTCATCTATCACTCTATCCACTGCACCACCTAGATGCCCAAATCACAAATACTTCTCAAGTCATATTTTTTCCTACATTCACAGGTCCTGGTCCTTCCTCAGACTAGATAGGGTAGGACTTAGAGAAAACAGGAATCTCGCTTGGGTTGGAGGTAACTACTGAGCTGATTCATACAAATGTCTATTTCTACCAAGCCTGTTGTATATGGGCAGCAAGCACTAGGCTCTAAGAATCAACCTTATCTATATCTATATCTATATCTATATCTAGAATTTATGAATTTTCATAAGATCTTCAAAGCTGTAACTAGCAAACAAAAAGTCAATTTCCAAAATGAGATATTATGCTGAATGTAACTGACTAAAATAGATGCCCCATCCTCTTTCACTTTCACAGCAGAGAAAAATGGAGACAGGGAATCTACAACAATTTTTTTCTTTTAAAATTTTACTAATATCCTTTGTGACACATTCATTTCACATACCACAATCCACACCCCTACTCCTCCATGTCCTCAACTAAAGAATGGAGGTACAGTTTCTCATCTTTTCTCAAGGACCAAGCTTCAAGCCACAAGATTCTGTCCCCATCCTGACCCCTCCCCTCCCTTTATTTTTATTTACCTATACAAATACATAATAATGGGGATCCCTATGACCTCCTTCTATCATGCTTAATGACCCTGGATGGAGGTGATCCATATAATCACTATAAGATCCAAGGGGCTTCCAACGGGTAGGCAAGGGATGCTACATGCTCCATGGAGAGGCTTCTTCCAAATTGCCACCCATGAATCCACAGCATTTTGATGACAAGAGCATTATAAGGAAGAGGTTGGAGGCCTTCATGGCATTCTTGTGGCTGCTACTTATTTGTCCTGGTTTTCTCTCAGTCTAAAGACTCTATGTCCTGGTAATACATCCTTGTCTTGATAATCTGTTTTTGTAATCTCCACTTTACAGCTTCTCAAACCTTCTCTAAGGCTGTCACAACACAATAATCAACTTTTTCTTTTCTACCACATCCTTTCTCTCCTCTAAACTTCATGCCAAGGATTTCTACTCTAGGAAAAATTTCCTTTTTAGCCACAACTATTCTCCAAGCCAATCAATTTATTATTGGTTTCCCACTTGCAACTTGTTTTTGGTGATTATAATGTTCAGACTGTGCACGTTGCTGCTGTGTTCTCTGTCCTGTTAGACTGTAAACCATTTGAGGGCAGAGACTGTGACTATTCTTTTGAAGTGCTGTTCTAGCTCCCAATGTGCATTCTAAGGATGTGCTTACTTAATGACTAAGAAAATTTATCAAATAAGCCTGTATTTCCTTTTCTGCTCTAAGGGAAACGTTTGGATTGACAATCATTTGTGTATCTTGCCTGATGAGGTTGTTATTTGTTTTGTGGTTTAAGGATGTTTTTGCCTTACAAGAATAAATCTACATTAGAAACATTAGCCATAAGCAAGAACACCTCCAAGAGACTGACAAAATGACCCCACTGCCCATTTGGCGGAAGTTAATCGATTAGTGACCAACCAGTTCAAAACGGCCTCGAGGCCACCCCTGGGTGAGAGCTGAATCGAAGAAGATCCAGGACACATTTCCTGGATGTCCTTTGGGAAAGATTCCCCAGGGGCAGAAAGATCCTGGACCCTCAACCTTGAGGACTTCATAATGAGAAAATAGTATGCCAAATGATAAATGATGTTGAGTCCTAAAAAATATTTTAAAACTTTATTTATTTGATTCCTTTCCCCAGAGTTTCTTGTTTTCATTCCAGCACCTACAACGAATGCCATCCCACCACCCTGGGTTTGCCTAACAGCGGCAGCAGCACCAGCAGCAGAGAGTGACAATTTCTTGAACAGGACCTGTTTTTCTACTTGCTGCCCCACCAGGAGGAGGAGGGCCAAACCTGCAAGCCAGGTACCTCTCAGAATCCGGCCTCGCCTCCGAGATGCCTTATTTTCCATGTGATTTCAATTCAGTTTCAAGCAGCTTGAGGTGCATATCTGGGGGGCGGGGCAGCAAATTGCTTTATCATCCTAAGCCCGAGTTTCCTCATGTGTAAAGAGTGGTGGACCAGATGATATTTAGGGTCTTTTCCAGCTCTAAAACATGAAAAGTCTATGATTCAAACAGGTCTTTTTCCCCTCGCCTCCAGGACCTGATCAATATTTGATGTCTGTTGAAGGCGTTCTTTTTGTGGAAATCCTTTTCTTCTTTTCCAAGGAAACCGATTATGCTAACCTGCCCAGGGACAGTTTCTGCATGGAATTCCTTCATTTTCAGAGAAAATCAGAGATCCAAGGCAAAATTCCTTATTCTTGCTCTGCTCATATGAGCCTAGGAAGTGTGCTCTGTTTAGTCATTTTTCAGTCATGTCTCTTCATGACCTTTCTGGGGTTTTTTTTGGCAAAGATACTGGAGTGGTCTGCCATTTCTTTCTCCAGTTCATTTTATAGATGAAGAAACTGAGGTAAACAGTGATAAGTGACTTGCCAAAGGTCACACAGCTAGTAAGTATCTGAGGACAGATCTGAACTCGGGAAGAGGAGTCTTCCTGACTCTATCCATTGCAACATCAAGCTGCCCCCATCTAGGGAGTTTGTATGACACCACAAATTGGAGATCAATGTGGCCTACCCACTAGTCATTCACTTATACATTAATAACAGAGAAGTATGCACTTATATTATTTCCAGCTGGATTGATTTTGTGCGCTACGTAGCAGGGACTCTGGTTCTTTGTGGAACTAAGCGGTTTCACAGACTACTAGAGGAAGCAAAAGATGCTTGGAAGCAAGTGATTTTTCAGTGAGAACACAAGTCCTGCCTAGACTCAACCAGGTACCCCGCTTTGGTAAAGATACACTCAAGGGACAAATGGCCATATCACCTTTGCAGCTGAAGTTCCTTTAAATCAGGGGTTCTTAACCTGGGGACCGCCAAGGATCTATGGACAGGTTTCCAGGGGTCTGAGAACACAACACTTCTAGTATTTTGATAACTTTCCTTCAACATAATTGGATTCTCTTATAATTCTATTTTATTTTATGTATTTGTAGAATATTCTGAGAAGGGGTCCTCAAAGACTTCATCAGATTGGCAAAGGGGTCCATAACATTAAAAAGGTTAACAACCTCTGTTTTAACTGCGGAATACAATTATGGGAAAATATCAACAGAGCTATCAAACCTCTAAGTCTTTCTAGAAAGGGCTGAGAAAGTCCCTGGAAAGGAACTCCTGCTCAGAGTTAAGTGGAGAGATGGCTTGTGTGACCTACTATGTCCAGCTGGTCCTCCACTTGACAGGCTGTATCCTGGCTACCTTTTTGGCATTAGCCCTGCCACTGCCACACGCCCCTTCCTACTGCCTCTTGTGTCTGCTAAAGATGTGTTAACTGACTGTGCTATTGCTCCAATCACCATCCCTGTGACTTCTGAGACCAAAACACACTTTGCCTGGTTACCATTCCCCTGTGTGCACCAGTTCCTTCTTATAAATAAGCTTCTTGGGGCAGCTAGGTGGCACAGTGGATAGAGCACTGGCCCTGAAGTCAGGAGGACCTGAGTTCAAATCTGGCCTCAGACCAAACACTTGACACTTACTAGCTGTGTGACCCTGGGCAAGTCACTTAACCCCAACTGCCATAAATAAATGAATGAATGAATGAATGAATAAATAAATAAGCAAGCAAGCTTCTTGAGGGTAAGGGCTGTCTCACTTGTATTTCTCTCCCCAGTGCTTAGTATAGTGCTGGCATGCAATAAGAACTTGATAAATGTTTATTTTTCATTCATTCACCTTTTCTCCAGGTCCCTCTCAACCCATAAGTACAACAGAGAAGGAATCAGGAATGAGCAATAAGGACTGATATTCCTTTGCCAGGGAAGACACTCAGAAATGATACCAAATGATGATATTCTCACTGTGTTAATAAGAGACTTTTTCCTACAATAAGCAATCCAAACAACAGGCTCTCAGGAGAACCAAGAGTCATATACTTACTTTCATATGAAGAAATATCACACTATCTTTCATGAGGGGAGATCCTTACCTCATTTGCTGTGTTGTGTGTTCCAACTATTCGGATAAAGGATGCAGGCTGTTTATCAAAAGTTATTGATTGCCAGGATCTGTGAAAGAAAGCATAGGGATATTCCAGGTTAACAGACCAGAAGTTAACACCACTAATTTGTGTGTCTCTGTACTAGGCAATATGGAAATAGGCAAAAAGAAGATTAAAGACATTCTACACCTGGGGGAGGGGTCTACATATGGTTTCTCTATTCAGGGAGCCTATACAACATATAGGCAAAGTCTTAAAAAACAATTTATAAGTGACCATGAATAAATATGGCTCAGACCACGTGCAAAAAGGTGAAGGTTAGGCAGGAAAGGGTTCTTGGAGCAGGAGAGTGCTGAGTCAGATTTCTGAAGAGTAGCAAGAACATGAGTCAGGGGAGAGGAAGGGGAGAAAGAGGTCCTGGGGCTGTAATTTATTCACTGCCATCTAGGAAACTGTCTCTAAGGTTGACGTGTCACGTGGCCATCAACACAAAGATTTCAAGTAAAGTGTGACAATCATAGAACCTAAGAACAGAAGGAATTTATCCAGGAACCAAGATCCTCTTCTCACTGGACTGGAAAAAGCAAATATTTGCCTCTCCTGCCGCCTCCCTCCCCCCACTCTCTGAGGACTTGCCAGTTTCTAGGTGTTCTGGGAGAAGAAAAATAGCCTCATTGGGGTGGGGGGAAGGGAGAAGTGGGAAAATGACCTTTATTGACAGATCCAGGAGAAGTTATCCAGTCACCAGTTAACCCAGAAGAATCCAGCAGTAAAGGTAATAATTGTGTCACTGCTGAAAGGGCCATTAGAGATGATTCATTAAACTCCCTAATCTTACAGATGAGCAAACTGAGGAGGAGAGATGAAATGACTTGTTCAAGGTCATACAGTTATTGAGTGGAAGATCTGGAACTAGAACTCAGGTTTCTGATTCCCAGTAGAATCTTTTTCTTCTTTTTTTTTGGTTGGGGTTTCTTCCCTCCCCCACCACTTAATAGTATTTTACTTTTTCCAAGTACATGTAAAGATAGTTTTCAACATTCACTTTTACAAGATTTTGAGTTCCAATTTTTTTCCCCTTCCCAAGCCAGCAATCTGATAGAGGTTATATATGTACAATCACATTAAACATATTTTCACATTAGTCATGTTGTGAAAGAAGAATCAGAACAAAAGGGGAAAACCATGAGAAAGAAAAAAAAATAGTATGCTTTGATTTGCATTCAGACTCCATACTTCTTTCTCTGGATGTGGATAGCACTTTCCATCATGAGTCTTTTGGAACTGTCTTAGGTGATAGTATTGTTGAGAAGAGCTAAGTCTATCAAAGTTGATCATCTCACAGTGTTGCAGTTACTGTGTACAATGTTCTCCAGGTTCTGCTCATTTCACTCAGCATCAGTTCATGTAAAATTTTCCAGGTTTTTCTGAAATCTGCCTGCTCATCATTTCTTATAGCACAAAAGTATTTCAGTACATTCACATACTACAACTTGTTCAGCCATTCCCCAATTGACGGGTATCCACTCAACTTCCAATTTTTTGCCACCAGAAAAAGAGCTGCTGTAAATATTTTTGTATACATAAGTTCCTTTCCCTTTTTAAAAATCTCTTTGGGATACAGACCTAGTAGTGGTATTGCTGGATCAAAGGGTAAGCACAGTTTTATAGTCCTTTGGGCATAGCTCTGAATTGTAGAGTCCTCTTTCTACTGCTCCACACGGCCTCTCTCCATATTCTGCAGGTAGCACGGAATAGTGCAAAGAGTGCCAGGGTTCCAACCCCAGACCTGCCTTTATAACTCAGTGCAAGTAACTTACCTTTTCTGGGTCGTTTTCTCACCTATAAAATGAGCAGGTTGGATTAGGTGACCCCTCAAGTCCCCTCCAGCTTTGTGCCTATGATACCTGAAACCTTGGCAACACTTGCTTTTGCTTGTGCTTAGAAAAGTGGGGCTGACAGCATGGCACAATGAACAGGAAGGTGCATTTCTAGAGTAATAAGATCAGAAGGTCTCAATTTCACACCAGTCTCCCATTACACTGCATTAATATATAATCACATTAGAGTTCATTTTCACTAACATAGCCTGAAAGTTGAATATATGATTTCACTTTCAGCAAAACTAGATACTACCCTCAATACCAAAGTGTCAGTATGATGGAAGAGCAGTTAATATAGGGGAATGAACAACTCTCCCTCTCCCCAAAATCAGATTCTATTTTTCTTGAACTTCTTCAACATAACTTCAAATGTTGCTCAAGGGAGATCAAGTGGTGTTAGGATGGTTATCTCCACATCAGAATTTTCATCTGTAACCAATCAAAGGACTCTGTCCAAAGGTGGAATTTCATATAGTTTGGAAACAGCCATTAAAATGCAGTCTACACAAAGACTTGAGTGCAATTATAAATTAGATATATTGCTGTCCTATTAGATGCAGTACCCTTGTTAGGGATGGCATGGCATATATATCCTTCCTCACCTAAAACCTGGAGCTTACTTTGTTAGTAAAACTTCGAGATGAGGAAATAAATATAGTTACATCTCCATCACTTTTGTATAGAACCAGTATAAATTTGAGGAGTGGGGAGGAAGAAGTCTTTGACTCTGGGGAAGAGGATGAGGGAAATATAATCTCCCTTTCTTAACACTCCCTCCCCTGACCCTGGAACTTCCAGTTCCATCAATTTATTCACCATTCATTGAACAAATGCAAATTATTTCATTGTATGGCAGAAAAAATTCTGGATTTGGTGTCATAAAACTTTGCCTCTGCTACCAGATAGCTAGCAGGTGACCCTGATCTGGTCACTTTTTTTTTTTCTGAGTTATAGTATCTCTACTATAAATAAGGGCGTTGGGACAGGTAATACAGAAAGAATGTTGGATTTGAATTCAGGACATGTGGAGAGAGAGCCTAGCTCTGACACTTAAGAGTTGTGTGATCATGGGAAAATTATTTCACCCTTCTAAGGTTTATTTTCCTCATTTACAAAGTAGAAACAAATGATACTTAAACAGGGTTGTTGTGAGGACAGTGCCATATAAATATGAATCATCATCATCATTTCAGAGACAGAGGCACATAGTGGATAAAGAGCCAGGCTTAAGGCCAGGAAGATTTGGCTTCAAGTCCTACATCTGACACATCCTGGTTGTGTGAGCCTGGGACAATCACTTAAGCCCACACAGACCTAGGCACCTCTATAAGATGACAAGTTGCAGAGAAAGTGCCAACCTGTATTGGTAGAGAGTTTCCTCACTTGGGATATTCTCTAAACCAATGAAATTATTTCTGAGGTCGCTTCCAGATCTAACATTCTATGACTCAGTAATTGAGGCTAAGGTAGCCAGGGAGCTACACTTTCACTTCACTTTTTCACCTTAGCACTATGCCTTGCAAATAGTAGGCACCCACTAAACAGCTGTTCAATGAAATGAATTAATTCCTTGCTTTGAGATAGATGGGGACTGGTGCTTTGTTGAAATTCACTAAACCTACTATGTGTGTGATGACAGCATGATGTTGCAAGACATATACAGGAGAGACCAAAATGTATTTTTATCTCCTGCTCTCCACAAATTTATAGTCTTATTAAGGAATAAGATGCATATACACAAAACAGAATAATATAAGACAGACAGGATAGGTTTCCCTAATTTACAGTACCAAAAATTCACTTGTGAATTGGTTGGTTGTTTCTACGGAAAAATCCATTCCATTCCCAATGTTATAAGTAGTGGTAAGGCTCCCAAGGCCAGTGCAGAAAAAGTGATTTAACTGAAATACAGTATTTTGGCAATAAAGAATATAGTAGAAAATGACATTGTTGTCATCCTAGTGATTTAGCAAAACAAAAAAAAAATGATAAAATTATTTTTTTTTTGTTTCAAATGTTGATATTTGAAGGATAGCTGGTCTCATTAGATGATAAGGAAGTATATAGAGCCTTTTGTGGAAAATGTGAAGGGACTTTTTGGCATTTTCAAGGGCTTGGAACTGATTAATGATACTAGTCCTTTATTGTCTAATTTCCCTTAATAATTCATATTTATATAGCACTTATACTTGAAGATTAATAGCCTTTGTTTTACCTAACAAGGAAATTCTTTCTGTAAGCTCCCCATCACTTGAAGTGTTGGCACAGAATCTTGTCAGGGCTTCTTAGAGCAGACTAGAAGTTTGGACTTGATTATTTCTAACGTCATTTCCAAGTCCTATATTCTCTGAGTAGAATTTGACAGGCATATTGCACTTTAGAGTTGGTAAAGAGTTTTATATACATTGTCTCATTTGAGCCTTATAATAATTTTGTAAAGTCAATTCAGGAATTATTTGGAGAGATGTTTGTAAATTAATGGAGGTCCAGAGGATGACAGCCAGGATGGTGAAGGGACTTGAAATTATGTTATATGATTTATATTTAGACTGGGAAAAAGACCTAGCAGGGTGGAATGGAGGGCAAGAGGGTTTTATAATAGCCATCTTCAACCATTTCAAAGGTTGCTGTGTAGAAGAAGGAATATATTTATTTTGTATAATACCAGAAGCAGGATTTGGTCCAATAGTTCAAAGTTACAGGAACACAGAGTTCAACTAAACATGAAAAAGAATTTTCTTGTAGTTGTAGCTGTCCAAAAAAAAAAAGGGGATGGATTACTTTGTGAAGTAATAAACTTCTTGTCATTGGAAATACTCAGCCAGAAACTGGATGACCACTTGTCAGGGTTAATAATAAAATAATAATGATAATAGAAACAGCAGCTTATATTTACACAGAACTTTCTGGTTTACAAAGTGTGAGATGGCCCATTCCACTCTCTGGTAGCTCTAAATATTAAGCAGTTTTCTCTTCATCAAGCCTAAACCTGCCCTCTGCAACCTTGTCCATTGCTTCTGGTTTTGCTATTTGGGTCAAATAAAGCAACTCTAATCCCTCTTTGGTGTGGCACCACTTCAAGTACTTGAAGACAGTGCTCATGTCCTTCCCAAGTCTTTTCTAGGCTAACTATCCCTAGTTCCTTTAACTGACCAACTCATATGACAAGGGTCCAAGGCCCTTC